CAACCTTCCTCAACAAGATTTTCGTCGGCCGCAAGGATGGGTGGGTAGAAATTTGGAACTTGAGCACCGGAAAGCTCATTTATACGATTTTACCACCCTCTCCCGACGCAGGCGCTGTCACTTGTCTCGAGCCGACTCCCGCCTTGTCTCTTATGGCAATCGCCTACTCTCACGGCCAACTCATCATCACCAATGTTCTTACCGATAAAGTCGTACTTCAAGTTGAAGCCGGTAGCTCTGAACATTCTGTTCACAGCATCTCCTTCAGAACCGACGGTATGGGAGCCGGCCAAGATGGGAGGAAGGATGGTGTCATGGCAACAGCGACCCCGTCCTCTGGAGACATTACATTTTGGGATCTCAACGGTGGCGGACGTGTCATGGGAGTTCTCCGAAGCGCACATAACCCCCCTGCCTCGGACGGTCCCCTTGTTAGTGGAGGCGTCAGCCGGGTCGAGTTCCTATCAGGTCAACCTGTCATCGTGACAAGCGGCCTAGACAACTCTCTCAAGTCGTGGATTTTTGATGCAACACCATTTTCGCCAATTCCCAGAATACTTCATTCTCGGAGTGGCCACGCCGGCCCTGTCAACTGCCTCCAATTCCTCCCCAGCGATTTCGACGGCGCTGAAGCTGGAAACAAGTGGCTCTTGAGTGGTGGTCAAGACAGAAGCTTATGGGGCTGGAGTTTGAGACGCGATGGCCAGAGCTCGGAGCTCAGCCAGGGTAACATCAGGAAGAAGGCAAAGAAAATCGGCATCTTGGCCACGAATGCTTTGGCCCACGGACCGACAACAACGCTCGAAGACCTCAAAGCTCCCCAAATCACTTGCATCGCTTCCTCCCTTAATCGAGACGGAGGTATAGGTGCACTTCCTGGGAAACAGCCAATTTGGCAAAAGGATCTGAGCCAAAAGAAGGCTGAGAGTGCTGAAATAAGTGGCATGACGGGCTGGGAAAGCGTTGTCACCGCTCACAAGAATGATACACACGCAAGGACATGGTTCTGGGGCAGGAAGCGCGCAGGTAGATGGGCCTTCCCAACAAGCGACAGCACCAATGTTTCGACCGTTGCCGTCTCCCCTTGCGGCACCTTTGCATTAGTGGGTTCCGAAGGAGGTGCTATCGACATGTACAACCTCCAGTCCGGTGTTCATCGGCAACGTTTCCCTTCCAAGCTGACGCCAGCGCAAGCCCGCCAGTTGAGAATACAGCAGATGAAGCAGGCCGATGATGTGGTAAGACTTCAAGGAGGCCCCCAGAAGTTCTCTGCCGGTACAGGCAAACACACCAAAGCAGTCACGGGTATCATTGTTGACTCAATGAACAAGATGGTTATATCCTCCTCGGAAGACGGAAAGGTCAAATTCTGGGACTTTCTCACGGGCAATCTCGTCGAACAGATTGATTGGACCTTGACCTGCTTCCCCACCGCTGCTAGATACCACCCCGGCAGCAATCTGGTGGCATTTTCTTGCAGCAACATGTCTATCAAGGTGGTAGACATGGAAACGAAAAAGGTCATTCGTGAATTCTGGGGTCCCCAAGATGCGATCAATGACTTTTGTTTCTCTCACGACGGCCGCTGGGTCATTGCAGCGTCCCAGGACCGAGTCGTTCGCGTGTGGGATCTTCCTACCAGTCACCTAATTGATGCGATTCGCCTTGAGAAACCATGCAGGGCACTCTCTATGTCTTCATCTGGAGAGTATCTGGCCGCAACAATTGAGAATCAGCTGGGCGTCACAATTTGGACAAACAAGTCCTTATTCAAACACGTGCCCACAAGACAGATATCTGAGAACGAAGTTGGTCAGACAGAAATGCCTACTGTTTCTGGAGCTGGCAACGGCGGTCTTCTGGCTGGTGCTTTCGAAGAAGAGGAGACGGAAGGAGATAATGCGGTTTTGGCACCCACCATTGAGCAACTCAGCTCGGAGCTGACTACACTAAGTTTGGTACCCAAAGCGAGATGGCAAACTCTTCTCCATCTAGATCTTATCAAGGCACGAAACAAGCCAAGTGAAGCACCCAAGCTGCCAGAAAAGGCACCCTTTTTCCTAACCTCTGGCGCGAGCGATGCCAATGCCCAAGCCAAGAGCGAAGACCTTTCCAAGTCTCGTATTACCAAACTTGACAAAGAACGCTTTGAGGAGCTATTTACGACCAAGCTGCGAGCTGGGGCTGCAGCTGGAAATTGTATGTGTCTATTTATTTTCCCTCTTTCGCATACCTCCTACGATGACGGCCATTTGCTAACAACCGTTTAGATGATGAGTTCGTTGAACACCTAAAGTCCCTTTCACCGTCAAGTGCCGATCTTGAGCTTCGGTCGTTATCCGTAGGAAACGGGGATGATGCCTCCAACGAGCTCTTGCATTTCATTCGCGCCCTGACAGCCAGGCTGCAGATTCGGCGTGATTATGAGCTTAATCAAGTCTGGATGACCGTGTTTCTCCGACTGCATTCCGACCTAGTCATGGGCAGCGAGGCCTTACTATCAGCCTTGCAGCAATGGAGGTCATATCAAGAGCAGGAATGTAAGCGACTGGATGATTTGGTTGGATACTGCAGTGGAGTAGTCGGTTTCCTTCGAAGTCCTCGTACATAGTCTTCGGCAACAAACAAATACATCCATCTATAATTATCTCTATTATAAATCCATCTATCTACCATTGTGTGCTGTGAACATTCTATGAATCAGGGAAGCATAAGTTCTTTGGACCATTAATCTGAAAACTCTATGGCGAAAATTCTCATAAGATTATTCAGGTTAGTGGTAAAAAAACTTATGCCACCTCCGATTCACAGAATGTTCACATCACGCAGTGGTAGATGTCCGTGGAATCATCATTTGCGTGGGATAAAACTTTGTGTGCGACGAAGTTGCGTGCGCAGCCTAACCTCGCGATATCCCTTGCTGATTGCAAAAAGAAATGCATGAATACATATATCTACCCATCTTTTATTCAAAATATTTTCTGCGACCGTCTAATTTGAGCCATCTCAGACACTGTCTCTTTCCTCGCGCGTAGCAGCCAGCCAAGATCTTCGCCATTAAAGTTTGAGACTAGGCCTGTCCATCTTGGTCGACGGCAGTGGCAGGGAGAGTTCGTTGTGTTCCATGTCCCATTCGTGAGTCAAGGCATACGAGACATCTCTGAACGTATCAGGTCATGGCTCACGAGATCAATGTCGCAATTCACTACAGGTGAATCGAATCCAAAGCATCTGGCGTTCTCATCGCGAACATAATCCTCTGCAGCAGAACATAAACCAGTCGACGCGTCTTCTTCATGACCCAGCATCAAGCTGTGAACACAATGAAAACAAGGACAAAATCAAAAATTACGCCTCCCATGGCCCCGAAGGACAATGGAGCAAGGACAACACCGCGCTGTGCAATGCAGGCCATCCATACTGAAACCCCCAATTGATGAGCTGGGGAATTCGAAACAAGGTAAGTATGAAGAAGAAAAGAAGAAAAGGTGAAAAGAGTGGGAGGTCCGTCTGCTTTTAAAGACGAATCTCTGCCTGAGGCAAGGTTACTGATTGCGCATGGTGGGTCTCCACCCAAAGCAGCTGATTTTTTTAATTGGTCGGAGCTGTAGGCAGCAGCGACTTCTTTTTTGGGCCAATGGGAAGCTCCCATTTTCATCAGGCAGCAGTTGCATCTACATGCCTACCCTGTATACTCCTGCATTTGCTTGCTTTCTTGCTTGCGTACCCTCTGTGAGCTTTGGGTCTCGACTCTCCGCGAGGTAGGCCTCCAGGAGGTAGGTTGGTGTCAATCCGAGAATAATCAGAACAACCATGTAGAAATACAGGTACGGGATCTAGCACAATGGGCAGCAAGTTGCACCGATTCTAGGGGAAGAGCCCTGGCAGCGAAATTATCACGGCCTTGGCTACGCACGTATCCATTCCTTTTATCTCTGCCATTCTTTATTCATACTCGATCAATAGGTTTCTAGCGATCATTGGGTGGTGGCAGGTTTCGTTGGGACAGTTCAACGTGAGACCCTTGCATTATTTGTACGCTAGCTATTTGATAGCCCCCCAAAAACGTAGATACCAGACACGATAGGGTGTTATTCATTTGTCGTTGTTAAACCGACTAATGATATGCTCCTCGAAGGTCCATCTTTTGGAGAGCAGGTGAGGTTATTCTTGATCCTTCATCTTCATCAGGATGAGCTAGCTGTACCTGTATTTCGGCTCTAAACATGTAACTCCTCCTTTAGGAGCTTCACAAAACACAAACTGAAACCCCCAGCTCGTCTAAATAGAGAACGAGGCACCATGCAGTTAAGGATATACTCTTGTCTGTTGCCACATGCTGTTCCCATGCAGTATCTACACATAACACTTCTTGCTATAGGGTATGCAAGACCAACGGACTCGGGGAAAGAGACTAAGGTACCTCTTGAGTACTAAGTCTGCCTAAGGTACTGATGAAATAACTTCTATTTATTTTCAGTAGGTTAACACTCGTTTATGTTGACATTAATCGTGAATATGTCAGAACAAAAGACTTGAAAAAGGGGAGATTGGAAATATCTGCGATCGGGCTTTGGTCGTACAGCACCATATTGTACAGCATAGGAACCACAACCAGCACAGAAAGACGCATATCAAATCTCGAGTCCTCCCAAAGCATTTTATCCCGAGAGACCGAATGAGAGCTCCGTGTCTGTGCAACTTGCTTGGGCGCTCCTGAGAGAGAATTTGTGCGGTCAGAGTCGAAGCACACGTGCAGCTGGCACAGGTTAATGATCCTCAGCGACCACCTGAAGGTTACAATGAAGTGGACGGGGATGAATATGTGAGCTGCAGTGGCCCCCAGACCTGCTACAGCAGGGCCTAGTGGATTGCTAGCGCCCGCGTGCAACATCAAGCGTGCAGCTGCGGGGCAAAAATTTCCAGCCAAACTTTCTGAGTCGTAAATTTTCTGTCGCGACCCTTCCTCCCAAACTGCAATCGTATCAGTGTTCGACAAAATGGGCAAGAAGAACTTCAGGGTATGTGTAGCGTCTCGGCTCATCAAAGTCGCATCCAATTGAATGGTCGGCAGCTAACTTCTGGATTATCGTGTAGGGTAAAGGCCGTCGCGGAGGTGGTGGTGGCCGTGGATCTCATGCAAATGGTGGCTGGAGAGACTATCCTGCCATCGCCAAGGAGCACGAGAACTTCCAGAACTACTACGATTCGCTTCTCCAGCTGCCAGAAGAGGAGAAGAAGGAATTCTGGGATGCCTTGCGACGAGATCTCCCCAACAGTTTCCGATTTGCTGGTTCCAAAGGGTAGGTTTGATTGTTTCATCCTGGTTCTGTCGCATCCGTTGCTGACCGGTCGCCAGCCATGCGCTCTCTGTCAAGAGACACCTACAGACCCGCTACATCCCCGAGATTGTCAAGATCGAGCACCAGGATGGCCGCCCCGTCGAACCCCCGCAACCTGTCCCATGGTACCCCGATGAGCTGGCTTGGTGGATGACGACCCCGAAGAATGTCGTCCGGAAGTTCCCGCCTTTCGCTGCTTTCCAGAAGTTCCTCGTGTCGGAGACAAGCGTTGGAAACATCAGCAGACAAGAGGTAGTCAGCATGATTCCTCCCCTACTCATGGACGTTCGACCTGGCCATGTGGTGCTCGACATGTGCGCTGCACCCGGAAGCAAAGCAGCCCAGCTTCTCGAGATGATCCACCAAGGAGAAGAGGCCCGTGTCAAGAAGGTCCTGCGAACATTCGCCGAAGAGGACGGATTGGTGGTTGGAAAGGAGACACAGGACGAGATTGACGTTGATCTCGATGCCGACCCCTCGGATGCTGGCAGAGCGACTGGCCTCCTGATTGCAAACGACTCAGATTACAAGCGAGGCCACATGCTTGTGCACCAGCTCAAGCGTTTGTCTTCCCCTAACCTTATCGTCACGAACCATGATGCTGTCCAGTTCCCTTCGATCAAGCTACCCTCCGAGGCCGGCAAGAACGTTTACCTGAAGTTTGACCGAATCCTTGCTGACGTTCCCTGCTCGGGTGACGGAACTCTGAGGAAAAATGTGAACCTATGGAAAGAGTGGCAGCCGGGAAGTGGCTTGGGTCTCCACCTGACCCAGGTCCGGATCTTGGTGAGAGCTCTGCAGATGCTCAAGGTTGGCGGTCGTGTTGTGTACTCAACATGCAGCATGAACCCCGTTGAAAATGAAGCAGTAGTTGCAGCTGCTATTGCCAGATGTGGCGGAAAGGAGAACGTCGAGATTGTTGATTGCAGCAACGAGCTGCCCAACCTCAAGCGAAGACCTGGCATGAAGTCCTGGAAGATTATTGACAAGACATCTAGAGTGTGGAACTCCTGGGAGGATGTTGAGAAGTTTGCAAAGGAGGAAAACGAAGGTGTGGTCCCCGGCAAGGTTGTCCAGACTATGTTCCCTCTTCCTGAAGGATCCGATGGTTTCGACCTGCCCCTCGAACGGTGCATGCGTGTCTACCCTCACTTGCAGGATACTGGCGGTTTCTTCATCACTGTTTTAGAAAAGAAGACCGACTTCAAAGCTCGCCCTGAGAATGAATCCAAGAGTACTGTAACTCTCAACCAGACTAAGGCTTCCGGACAAGCTGATGTTGTCCTGGATGAGGAGTCAAAACCCACAGCCGAGACTGAGCAGACACAAAAACCTGCGGAGTCTGATGAAGCTGCTGCTCCAGGCAGCAAGAGAAGCCTGGATACATCTGAAGCCGAAGAATTGCCAGCTAAGAAGCTCAAGGCGGGTGGTGAATCCTCCGAGGCTGCCACCCCCGTGGTTCAGCAAACCGAGACAAATAATAAGCCAAAAAAGAACGGTCCTACCGAGGAGCCTTTCAAGTACCTTGACCCGTCTCACCCAGTCATCCAGAACATCAAGGAGTTTTACAAGCTATCAACACGATTCCCGGATGACCGATATATGGTTCGCAATGAGATGGGCGAGCCAGCCAAGGGAATTTACTACACCACTCAACGAATCCGAGACATTCTTACTGAGAACGAGGGCCGTGGCATTAAGTTTGTGCACGGTGGAGTACGCATGTACATGAAGCAGGATGCACCATCTGCTGAGGTCTGCCGATGGCGCATTCAAGCAGAGGGGATGCCCATTGTTCAGGGGTACGTCGGCGAGCCACGCGTTGTGCACCTCACGAGCAAGGAGACATTCCACAAGCTCCTCATCGAGATGTTCCCTCGCATTGCCGATGACCAGTGGAAGAATTTCAACGAGATCGGCGAGCGGGTCAGAGATATCGGCATGGGCTGCACCGTTTTGCGCATCGAGCCCGAAGGTGATGATCCGGATTTCTCTGAGAGCATGGCCCTTCCGCTCTGGAAGAGCATCCAATCCTTGAACCTCATGCTACCCAAGGAAGACCGAGCGGCTATGCTCCTGCGGGTTTATAACGATACATCGCCTCTCATCAACATCGGCTTGCAGAAGGACCAGAAGAATAAGGCAAACGCCAACGGCAAGGTAGAAGAGACCGAGGCAACGGAAGGAGCTGCCAAGGAGAACGGGGAAGAGAAACCAGCTGGCGATGATAATGCCGCTGTGGAAGATTTGCCAACACCCGAGGGGATGGAGTAGCCTTCTAAGTCAAGGGAATTTTAAAAAAATTGGCTGTAAAGGCGTCATGATTTATAGAGTATAATGTACCTTATTCGTCCGTTCATTCTATCGTATGAGTCCGTTCATTATTCCCTGAGATTGGATCTGCGATCTTATAATACATATGCCATGTGTAAACGTAGGCTCCGAGAAACCACAACAACGCCTAGTATAGCTACTGGCGTCTTTTGACATGCGAGAAATGTTACATAATATACAGGATTTTACTATTTGTGAGATTACTCGTCTAGGAGGCCGACTATCCAGTGGGTGATACGATCCACGCCCTGGCCGTTGATGGCACTCACTGGGATGGCGGTGCAGTTCTTTGTCCAGGAAGACTCCACGCCGCTGGGATGGGGGGCGTCGCCTTGTGTGATGCTTTCAAGGTACGCCTTCAGTTCGCGGAAGTTGGCTTGTGTTTCGGGAAGATCGGCCTTTGTGGCCACGACAAACCAGGGTTTGCCTGTGATGTCCAGCGCTGCTGGCGGGGCGTCGAGGGAGGCGAAATCGGCATTGAGCAGATTGACGGTGCCGGGTGAAGTCAGATCCCAGTCAATCTTGGACTCGACCTCACGGTCGTGCTCCTCCTCCTCTCGCATCTGAGCATACAGTCCGACCTCGCGCCACAGGGCATCGAGCGCCTTGACTGCGTTGCCGGCGCCGAGGTCGATGACGAAGGCGAGGACGGCGGCGCGCTCCACGTGGCGAAGGAAGGCGATGCCTAGGCCGCGGTCAAGGTGGGCGCCCTCGATGAGACCCGGGATGTCGGCGATGGTGAAGCGAGTCCGGCGCTCGCTGTCCTGGCTGCCATCGGGGTTGCGGCGCATGGAAGCTGAGACGGCTGGGCGGCCAGAGTATTTATCGAGGACGACAGTGCCGATGTTGGGCTGGAGGGTGGTGAAGGCCCAGTTTCCAACTCTTGTCCGGCTGTTGGTGAGTGATCGTAACAGGGTGCTCTTGCCGGCGTTGGGCAGGCCAACGAGGCCTACATCGGCTAGAAGCTTGAGTTCGAGCTCGATCTTCATTGTAACTGCATCCTCGCCCTTTGTCGCAAAGAACGGGCGAGGATGATCTTTGGAAGTGAAGTGGGGGTTGCCTAATCCACCGATACCTCCAGTGGCAAGCAATATGGGCTGTACTGTTGGCCTTGACAGGTCGAGATGAACGGGCGCAGGAGGCTGATTATACATTTTAGTGCGTCGGGGTAGTCGAGGAAAGGCTGACCCTTTCATGTCGCCTTTGGACATGCCCGGATATAGCAGCCATTTATGACGAGTGGGATCGTCAAGTTCTGGATCCTCGTCTTCTTCCATCTCCACTGCTCGAGATGATCTCTCCAGCGGCTCTTCCTCAAGCTCTTCCTCCTCTGCCTCATCCACCTCCTCCCCTTGAGCCTTGGCAAGGGCCTTTTGTTTTTGCTTCCTCCTGCGCTCTTCCTCGGCCAACCTGATCTCCTTCCTTTTTTCTTTCTGGATGGCCTGGTATACCTTGATATTCATGGCCTCCTCGGCGGCTGGGTCGGATCGCTCGATCTCGCGAACAATCGTCCCGACAGGCACGGTGATGACAACATCGTCACCCTTGGTACCGCCCTTTGCGCTGCCCTGGCCGTGCTTGCCGCGCCCCGCACGAACGAACTGCTTGCGAGCGATCTTGTGCAGAGAAGTCTCGCCATAGGCAGCTTGTATGTAGATGTTGCCGCCAGCCCCCCCGTCGCCGCCGTTGGGGGGCCCCTCGGCGAGGAACATCTCCCTCAAGAACGACACACAGCCATTGCCACCACGTCCGGCGTATAGGGTCAGGTCGGTCTTGTCGGCGAAACTCGGGGAGGAGAAGTCTTCCGGGGCGGGATTCAGGCGAGACTCTGGGAGATTATTGACGGTTGATGTGCATCGCTTCTGGAGTGACACCCGCGCAATGACGCGGGCGGAGGGGCCTGCTCGGGGCGCATAGAGGGATGGATATAGAAACGGCGCCAGCGTAAATGATGGAGCCTTACACCGGGGGGACATTTCCCTTCTGTTTCTCTGCGAGCAGAGACGTTATGCTTGCCGGTGGTAAATCAATTCGTGGGATGGGGGATGTCCATGCCTGGTTCTTTGGGAAAATCTTGTTATCGATAAGCCGGCCATATCAGATATGGCACTTGCTATACCTTAACCACACCTTACACCTGTAGCTGTTAAAGCATGAAGGTCTCGATGTACCAACGTAATTCATAGCAAACATTGATTTAATACGGTTTTCACTATACTTACTGGTTTATATAGGACACCTGTCTTGCCTTGATAGTGACACCGACGACCTTTCAGAAGTGGGTGACATTGAAATTGAGACACTCAAACATTAAGCTGCTTATTCTCAAGTCTGCGACCAGTATTATCAGATTATTAGTGCTAATAATATATACTTCAGGGACAATATGGTATATATTATTATGTTATTTTACTACTAAACTTCTCTATTTATTGTAGAAAGTAGTCTGCTTATAACCACTCGCTTATTAGGTGTCTCATTTCTCCTGCCACCCACTTGCCAGGTAGAGATGATGAAAAGATGGGCAATTCATCGAGGTCACACGGCATTGGGGTGTCAATACTGATATGCCGACGCCTGGCTGCAGTATTACCTACCTGCGAATAATCTGTACAAACATTCAAGCTGGTATTATGCAGATTCATAAGAGCTATATGAAACTCAGTCCCTGAGGTACGGTAGTCGGCCATCGCTGACAAACACATTAACACCGTGCATTATAATGATCCCCACGCCAAGCGAGCCCAAACCCCAAAATGACCCCTCAAAAGGGCATCAGTACAGCAGCAGCCTAACCATCATCCGCATGCACAGAACACTGCGGCTCACCGGATGCCAAGTGCAAACGCAGAATCCTGCTGGGGACAAACGAGACTCGGCTGGCTGCCCATAAGCAGTGGCGATGGAACCGGCCCGCAGCTGTGATTCGACGGTCGGTTGCATGCCGCACTACGTCCTTGTAGGTACCTGCTAATGGCGCTGTTGCTGTGCTGTCGACGAGGCAAAATGCGGTGAACTGCCCGTTGAAGCTGGTCCCGCCTCCAGTTAGTCAGTCCACTCTCGACTGAAGTGACTTCTCCCGTGCTGCCACTTTCTTCCTCGGGCTGCACGTCTACCTCACTCTCCAGCCAAGCTGCCCCGTGTTTTGCTGCTGCGCATATCTTGGTTCCTCTGTCGGAAGAAGTTGGTCTGCGGGACAACGACTGCTTATTTAGCTGCCATCCATTCATTGCTGAGCTGAGCTGCACCGTGCTGGCACCAATCAGATCCATCACTGCTTTCCGCCTCGATTGGCCCCCTTCCCCGTCTTTCGTTGTTCCTGCCTTTCTCTCTCGCCTTCTCGCTCCGAGCCAGAAAAGCCTCCCGGCACATCTTGGACAGCGGCAGGAGGGCAGCTGGCCGTCAATTGACTCGGGCACGGTCTGGTTCTTATTATTGTTGATATACTGCGTCTGGTACAGGCCGGCGGACCAAATCACACGATTGCGGAACCCAAACTGCTCCGGTGACACCACCTCCTCACGCAGACCATCGCCAATCTTGCTCGATCCGACATTAGGAGACTATAGCATCCCACTCGCATAGCATTCTGAGCCGACTTCCATTGGTTGGGCTGCTAGTTCGTTGGGCTAGCTTGCATACGTTTTGCCAGTCCCGCATTCGAGCCACGACATCAAGGGTGTGTCCTATTGACTCTCCTCATTCGGCCGTTCTCCACACAACAGACCTACATCCAGTCCCCATGTTACCCTGCTGAGCCGAAACTTCGAGATCGTGCGTTTGTCGAACCGTCTCGCCCTTCTGCCTTCGTTTCTGGCTCGTGACGCAACTCCTCGGGTTGGCTTGCAGCACAGAGGCCGTCCAGCCCGGACTGTTCCCTACGTACAGCCGCCGCTTCCTCCTCCTCCACCCCCCTCCCCGTCTTTTGCGATTGAACCGACTCCGCCCCTGGTTCCTTACCGCCCAGCGCGCCGTCGGTCTCCCCACGCCCGGAGCTGCTGCCACCACCACCCTGGGTTGATACTTTAGGTCAGTTGCGTGCCAGCCAGCATTGACTGCACTTCCACCTTCCCTTCCTCCCCTCTCTCGCCCTTAGCCCACTCCAGCTTTCGGGCTCCTCCCAGATCCCAAACCTCTTCCCATCTCCCAATGTACCCATGTATGGGCCCCAAGGGACGTCCTTCGTGATTCATGTATATCCTGCTCCGGGTGTAGTCCTTCACTCAGAGTGCCCTCCTCTATGTATCGACCTACATCTTGTCGTGTATTCCCTGCTGGTCCAGTAGCCCGCCATTGCCCCTCACCATAACTCAAGCTATCGCCTCGGTCCTCGGCCTCCCGCTAAGATGTACTTTAGAGAACCAAAGCACCGCCGGAACATCATCATCAAAATGGACCCGGACTGTGCTATCTGCGGAGCGCCTGCCGAGATGGCTTGTGAATGCGAAGCAAAAGGCCTCGATGTTGCCATGAAGCAGGCAGAAGACAAGATCATGAAGGATATGTACTTTCAAATACGGTATGTCTAATGAGCAACTCGCCCCTCATCGGTTTGTTGGACCACACACTGACATGTGGTGATACAGGCAATGGGTTAGAAGCCATGCGCAAGATCATATCCTGGATTACTTCCGTATGCTATCTGATCAAAGGAAGACCCAGCATTCAGAGCACGTGGATCAACTGACCAACCATGCTTATCATTATTACAATGCGCCTCCTCACCCTCAGCATCTTGCTGATGCCCAGCGCACCCTGAAGGAAGGCATCGATGATGACTGGAAGGCTAGCGTGGAGCGCTACCCCGAGGTCCTCGAGTATTTCTTCAACCTGGTAGAACTGAGCTTACCCTCAGATGACGATCCGGTTGTATCAGACCCCCCTTTCAAGGCGAGCCCTCAGAGGAAGCCGCCTCAACGTCGAGTCGGTCCCCCACCAGG